CTTCCACTTCTGCTCTCCATTGGTCGTGACACGGGAGTTGAGTTTTGTGCCCGTGTCTTGGGCATAGAGAGTGAAGGCCGCTATGAAGCGACGTGCATCTGGAGAAGACTTGCCCATGTAGGGCGATGGTTTCTGGATTAGGGACTTTTTGGTCCCAGCAGTGGTGGAACAATCCAAGAGTGTGCTGAGTGATTGTTGGATCGTGTTTGTGGCTACAGCTAGCCTGGCAATTGTGTTCCGAGTCGAAACTCGGTGTGCATGAACTAGTCTTGAACAGTCTGTCATATTTGACTTGACTTTGTGTTCCTTTCCCTACAATGACACCATGAGCCGAGCCTCCGTATCACGTCATGATAGGAGAAAGCGCCACTCGGTCGCATCGTATATAACATTTACTTCTTGTCTTATCTCAAGACACTTAGCCCACAGTGCATGTAACTCAGTAGAAACCTCTGGTTTGTGATTTACGCTTGGGGAACTGGTATAGGCCGCAGGTCTCAAGGACCGCTTTGACACCGCATAGTATCGCCCTTGCCACACTGGCTAACCGTTGGTATGCTCTGTCTCCTCGACCTATTGCACCTACTTGATCACTAGAAACACGAGCCTAGTGTCCGAATCTTGCCGCATTTCTATTACTTTCCTGATCCGGCGTCCCAGAGGGAGCGACCCAGGGCTCAAGTCTAACCTTTGCTGCATACCCTTTGCAGGGCGCTTGCCAAGGCAGATCACTCACAGTGGGGATCGACCCATTGACCTGTGACCAGCCAGAGGTTGAACTCTGACTGACTCCGAAAGCTCTGTAATAGCGCGTGCTCACGGGGTACTAGGAGATAGAGAAATGCTATGGGAGAAGTGTTTTCATCCTGAGTGCCTACTGCCCTAATGGCTGCTCCCAAGAGACTGTGTACTTAAGAGCAATCGATCTGATCTTATCAATGCACGGACTAGGTGCATACGCGTCCTTCAGAGGTGTCGCAGGTAGGATGAAATGAGATCTCGTCCTAATGTCGCGGAACTAGGTCGATGCGCACATGGGAAGCGAGAAAGGTCTCGCTGGGATCTACCCCATATGGACAATGCTGAGTGAGTGGGATACTCACCGATTGGGTGTAAAAGGGCTTGAAGTCGACTGTTACATGGACTAGGTTTTAGAACACTAGCACTCCAAGTTAATATTACTGTTCTGTAAGTAAATACAGGTGCTTACCTAGCACTCCAAGAGGACGAGATGGAGTGCTAGGACTACGAGCTACACTACTTATACCCCTGAGGTTTGGGGCAGGGCTCCTACATCAGACAGCCGTCACATGTGTGAGGTACTTATGCTATTAGCTATCTACCGATGATGCAAGATGACACGATCTACCATAACTCCGGTCTCGGGATATGAGTCAATGAGTCATGTGCTACAAGAGAAACCCTAGTATGTGGTTACATCACATGACTAGTCAGAATGCCATTCCAGGTGAAGTCTTTATCGAGCATATAGTACAAGTCCATTGTAAAGTGAGATAAAATAGTAGAAATATAGGGGAAAATAGGGCCTGGTTGTGCCTACTACGACACATCCTCCTTCTCTCGGTCCCTTCCTAGCCCTGCAGGCTCTCTCCCTCCGTTGTCTGACGGAGACTCTGCTACGCTGTCTGACAGCACAAACGACGACCTGCAAGACCAGCTTGGTTATCTCGGAACTAGCTCCCTCGCCCTGTCAGCCATCCTGGACCCTAAGTTCCCACACTCAGCAGAAGTCTTCGGCCACTGGTTGAAGACTCTATACATCCGCGGCTTTATCGAGGATAGTACCTACTCGAGGATTAGGGTGAGTACCAGGTGTACTATCTGCTTTCCTGTGAGTTACTAATCCTATCATTCAGATCGTCCACCTGACATGCAAGAAGTGGGACGAAATCTGCGAATATATTACTACGACAGACACTGGCATCCTCCAAGTCGTACAGTGAGTCGCGTGAAGACAGCTCATTCTGTGATGTGCTAACTCACGGTGTTGCATGTAGATTCACCTACAGTGAAGAGCTACACACTCTGGTTCTCACAGCAATGACAGAAGCACACACCAAGGGCATATTGATCGTTGGGTCGAGTATCCAGAAGGACCTCACGATGACGTTGGGACAAGATGTCGTGGACCACGTCCAGTTCTCGGGCACCAGTGCGGCCTTCAAGGCGGTATCACAAGAAGGCCGCATCTTCGAACAGATCCCCGATTACAAAGCCACAATCCAGATGCACCTGATTCATCATGTTGCAGGTGGAGCAGGGGAAGGGGAAGGCCTCGATGAGCAAGAAGGGCAAGAAGAAGGGGAAGTGCGTCTGCGCGCAGGCGAGCACCTTACCGGATCACATTACACCGGCAAAGAACATGGGCCAAGCCTACCTCAGGCTCTACATCGCGCTCGACACCATGTGGACGAAGTACGGAGCCATGAGTGACAACCGCTTGCAGGACCGGGAGCACATCATGCAGAAGGTTATGCAGCAGGTGAAGGCTCATCACAACAGGGACGGCCACCATCCGAAAGAGCTCCGCGCAGCATTCAAGGCCGTCAAGGGCGAGGAGGGGGAGACTGTGAGGAAGGCTATGACCGATGTGGTGAGTATGAGCTGCCGTTCTCTCTGGCTCAACAAATGACTAGTGCATATAGGTGTGGACGGCGGCCTCACAGATGAGGAACGACCTCAAGAAGAAGGCCAAGTTGGTCGCCGAGGAGGCCTATGACCTATCTAACCTCTCGTCAAAGCAGAAGGAGGTGCTCGCGGTGTGGCTCACGCAGAGCTACAAGCAGCCCCTAAGGGGTGGTGTTCTCGTGATCGTCCCAAACTTCATCTTCGGGAACATCAAGGTTGTCTAGATGGGTGCAGGGAAGAAGGCCATCCTGGACAAGAAGGTACGTACATACTGATTCTCATTTTATCGAGCAGCGCTGACTTGATCCTCAGAACTGCTCAGTGGATTTGAGGAAGCCGTTTCAGCACCCTGCCATCTGGCAGCTGGTTCACTCTTACTGGTTCAGCGGGTCCGGGAACTCCGAGCTCAAGGTGCCACAGGAATGTTTTAGCAAGGTCCCCAACAACCTCATTGCCCTGGTCTGCAACGTGGTAAGCTGATTAACTACGAATATTGGTTGTGCTGACAATGGGAGGGCTGCAGCTCGAGGCTGCTCTCAGGGATGTTGTGCACCCTGACATGCAATTCTTGAACAAGATCTATGCGCTGAAGTATGTATGTCTAAAAATAACAATCTTGAAGCTGATTTATACCTCCTGCAGGTGGGATGACCACATGGCCCTCCTTGAGGAGATTGAGCACACAAGCCCAGATGCTCACACTGGCATCAAGAAGAAGATTTGGGACAAAGTCAGGTGTGAAGAGCAGAATGGTTGGTTCTGAGGTATACGATCACTGACTGGTCTTCCAGCGCAAAACTCACTGCCGAGCAGAACACGATCGGCATTGATCATCTTGGTCTCATGGAGGGCGCCCCGCAGGGCATCCCCTTCGACAACCTTGTTGTTGACGACGACGATGACGATGAGCAGTCTGACAAAGAGGTGGACGAGCTAGAGGGCTCGGTGCCCCCGCAACCTACCTCTGTTGTTGCCAATGTGCAGGAGCAAGATGCCATTGCAGAGGATCTGGCCACTCGGAGCAGGTGATCCACCAAGGGCTCCGAGTCCACGACAACCAGCCGTCCAGTGGCTGCATCCTCCCAGGTTGTCCCAGACGAGCCACGCACGGGGCCAGAGTGCAGGTATGTTTGGCACTGCTGTTGTATGTTGCTGCGTGTGCAACTGACATATTCCTTTCAGTCACCTCTGGAGGTGGGACGTCGGATCGGGACGCAGCGGGTGCAGCAGCAGGCATGTTGAATCCTGCGGATCAAGTGGATCAAGTGGTCAGGGAAGCAGCTTTGGTAGAAGAACCAAGTGCGCGAGGGGAGAAGCAGTCCGCAGGTGCTAGCGAGAGTGACGGGGCCACAGGTGCGTAGCTACACCCTGATCTGCCTTGTTGATTTACTGATGGGGCCCTCTTCAAGCTGCCCGCACAGATTCGCTCAGAGCTCCTGAGGCTGGAGTGTCGAAGCCTGCTCCGTGAGTGGATCATCCGTATAACTAGGCGCAATCCTCCAAGGTACGTCGACGAGTCCTAATGACAACCATTTATGACTGACTGTTGACTACGTAGATTTCATCGCAATGAATCTACTGTATCTACACATATCTTGGAAGGTAACCTGTTCATATGGCAATGTCTCCCTCCTTGTCTGCCCATGTATTCTGGCAATGTATTGATTTAACACATGTACAATGTATGGAAGTACCATTCCAATAGTATGGGGCTTGAGTGGCTTAAGACCAAGCCAAAAATGGCGAATGAGACGCACAAGTCACGCAAGACTTGGGCCGCTTTGCTGTCTTGAACAAGGCCTAACACCCTTTTTGGTAAGCGCAACTTGTGTTGATTGAGTGGCTTGCAACAAGATCAGAAAGAAAGTGAAGACTACAAAGGTCTGAATAGATTGAATGGCTTGGTTGACTTGAGCAAGACAACTGATGCATTGCCTAAGGCAACTTATGTGACTTGGGCGTAAGCCAGACATGACATGAAGAATCTTGAGTGGCTTACACAAGACAAAGTGAAAAAGGCACTTGTCTTTATGCCTTGCTGAGCTTGCAATGCTATTCTGTCATGGACAAGGCACACAAGACACATAGGTTTTCCTGATGTTATCTATAGATAAGAAACAGAAAGGAATGTAATCTACGTATAGTAAGTAGTGTAGCAGAACATAAGAAAAGTCCTTATCAGGAGAGCCTGATTAGATAACGTATGAAATAGTAGAAGTTCAGCGGGGCTGACATCGTTTGGTCAGCAGGACGTGCATTGGAGCACGTTGGAGTGTTATCGCGGGCCGTCGCGTAACAGTTCATGGACAGAAAAGATGCGTAGCACTGCAAAAGTAACATGAGCAAAAAATCGTCACCTGTGTGAGTCGAACACACGCGGTCATAGACCAACCGCTGAAAGCTACGTATAGCAGGCGATCCCGTTAACCACTCCGGCAAAGTGACTTGTTACGAATGTAGACGATACGTGCTCTGAATGCCCCAGCCCGGTGAACTAGTATCTTCTCTACTCACTGTTGTCTTCTGAAAGCAGACCCAAAGAAGACCGTCATCCCCCTCCATCAAAATGGCATCCAATCAGTGTTTGCTTCAAAATGCGCCCTGAGATAGGGACACCCCTTGAGGAGCGACCATTTTGTGATCGCCGGTGGCTGCAGCACAGATGCCGGTGGATGGCTTAGATCTATCTCAGATCTATCTTAGATCTATCTTCAAGTCATATTGAACGACTGCAGTTCTGACATACAGAGGAAGAATCAATATATATCTATGTTCCAGTCTCCTATGAACCTCCACCATGAATCCTCATGGCAATCTAACATCACCACCTCACACGTACCTCTACACAGTACACAATCGTACATATGGGCCTGGCCGGGATTCAACTCAAACACCTAGCCTCGGCGAGTCTAGCATATCGTCCACTGGCTGAAGGCCTTGCATTGTACTAGAATGCACACATGAAACCCTGCAGTATCAATGACATGGAGAAGTTCGCATTGCTGCAAGCCCTGTGACACTTTCTCACCCTTCTTTGAAGGGGTTGAGGGAACTGGAGAACCTGCAACTCTCTTCATGCCAGGCATCTCATTCACGGGCATGTCCACGCGACCATTCGGATCCGCTCCTCATGGTGCAGGCCCGCGACATTGTCGCCTGTCAGAACGAGCGCGCGATGTGCGTCCTCGTTCGGCGTGACTTAGGGCGGGGTATGTCCAGATTTGCCTTCATGATCTGCGAGTACAGTTCGTGGATAGTGTCCGCCTTCTCCTCCGTGAGAGAGCGAAACACAAAAAGCCTGAGTACCCATGTTTGAGGAGCAATTTACCATCTGCTTCACTGTCATTTAAGACTAGGCTACTAGTAACAGCGGATGAGGTGATAGTTTTGCATCCGAAGGAACGATATCAAGGTGGCCCGGCCGAAAACCGGACCAGCTTCAGATAATATAGGTTTCGTCAATGATAAACAACATGAGATACGAGGTGATTGTAGGGTTTGACCAAAGAAGCAAAGCCATTGCTAGACAGCTGCTCACATGTTGGAACATACGGGCGAGTGCGTGCCCGATCGCCGACGCGCCGTCGAGCCGCCATCAGGCGCACGATATCACTGTACCCGTTTCGTTAGAGATAAGAAATACCGTATTTAAGCTCGGCTATCGCATGTATCTACCTTCGCGCGTTTGCCTCCCCGCTTCGAGGACGAGACAAACCGTCCGCGTTTTTGTAGTCTATCATACAGCTTGCTCGCTCCGCTCGCTTGATCTTATCGACGCCGACGCTCGCTCCAATAGTGCAGGGATGATGATCAATTTGCTAGACCGCGCAGTCACCACAAGCCGAGCTTGCCTTACTTCAAGTGACTCACATGTAGCTATACATCCTGTGTACATACTCTGATTTTATGAGATCTTAATTCGACGTCCGGGACGAGCTGCAAACATCGCTCGCGTGTGACTCCGTCCTGGATAGGACCGTCTGGGGCATCATCCCAGTGCACTGAAGTTTGATCTTTTTCTCCCGGAAAAAAAGTCTGGTAGTTGCATACATCCACAGAGTATGCATACCAAGTATTGTTGCATATAGATAACCCTAACTGCTGTGCTGATTCAACAAGGAACAGCAGGCGATCCCGTTAACTCCGGCAAAGTGACATAAACGTGGCAATATGAGTAGCACAGAAACTTGGTTGGCTCGTTCAAGCGCGCATCGTGCCAGATGGTCGTCCCTTCAACTACATCCACAGCTTTGTCCCACAATGATAGATCCCAGTGCGTATACTTACTGCGGGCGCGGCGTGTGCTGTACCTAGCTCATGGCTAGTCACTCGTTACTACCGTAACCAAGCTCGTGATCTAGAGGCCGTTGTTTGACACAGTGAACCCCGGCCTCCACATCCAACTTGTTCTAATTGCAACACCGACGTGCCGGCCTCACCCCTCCCGAGTCTCATATGCCTTTTGACGGCGCACACTAGGATTCAACCGAAATACGTTCGATGGCGCAAGCTCTGATGATCGTCAAATCCGTCACGTTGGTTATGTCCGGATCGCCCGTCGGGAGCAAGGTCAGCCTAGCTGTGCACTCCGACTGAGTAGAGAGCGCCATGCGTAAGAGCTCCCGTGCTGGGCGGTGCGGTTTTCAACAAGGGATCACAAGGTGGGCAGCGTCTACATCAAGACAATAGTACGCACAGGTCTGAGATCTCTGGAGATCGTGCCCAAGATGTCTTAGCGTCCGTCTATTGTGTGTACAGCCCTGCTTGTGGCCCATTTTCGGCCGGCTCCTGAGGCTTTGAAGGCGCATTCGGAGACGTGAAACTGTCCAGCACGGTCCCCTGCGCCACAGGGCTGAAGACATGGTTGAAGAGCTACACCAATAACCTCTGGACCTCTTCCTGTCACCGCGACGTCCTTCTCTGTGCTCGTGCGGCAATACTGGCAGATACTGTCGATCTCTCCCCTCCCCCCCAATCACCGCAACCGAGGATCCTTCAACGAACTTGACGGCTAACGGCATGCAAGACGCTGACGTAGTGGCCCGCGAACTGTCGCTCAGCATCAATCGCAGCACTGGTATGCCCACTTAGCATCTCGCGCGCAATAGATTCGGACTTAGTGCAGACACTGGACACTAGCGGCGGCACTATGTTTCCTGCTGTACGATATATTCCTCACGACAGACCTCGAGGTGCGTTTTTGAAAAACTTGCGTGGCGTGTAGCTTTTGACCATTTTCTTACCCAATAGATCACCTACATGTGGAGGTGAGCATCGCTATAAGATGCCAGTTCGCGCCTTGGACATTGACGCGTACCCCCGCCGCTCAAACAGAACACCATGGGCATTTGCGAAACCGTTCTATTTCATCGCGCGATATTACTCTTTGGTCGCACTCATGTGTGTCACATCGCCATCCGTATTGAGTGCTACTGAACGAGTCGTCTGCAGCGTCAAGAATTCGTACCCCATGACATGTCGAACATGGATCGTCTTCGAGAGCATATCCATTCTCATTGTGGAGCTGAGTGTGCAGGTATTACTTATGCTCAGATGTATGTGCAGCGACCCGTTCCCGTGCTCTCCCCCACGCTCATTTGTGGCCCTGCCCAGTGTTCGCCATGTACCTCGGCAGCAAGTCCACAACGCGGCTCATGGTGGTCCCCTTCGTCATACAGGCCATCGCGATGATCATCTGCATTGCGCTCAGCGTCCCACATATCCTCATAAGCCCCGGGTGTCTTGAGGCCAGCGTACCTGTGACGCTGGTCATATATTGGTGCGGGCCCTAGACTCATCCTTGTCCCACCGCCAAAGCTGATACCATATTCAGCATCGTCTCGATCGTGTTCGAGTCGTGGCTCTTCGCGCTCACAATATCTCGCTATCGACGCGCTCAGCTAGATGGCATGGCGAACATCGACCTCATGTCTGTGCTAGTCCGGGACGGCGTACTCGCCTTCGTAGTCATATTCGGTGCGTCTATTCCGAGTTTCGGCAGAAGCCCGTAGTCATTTAGCTCTTGGTCCAGTCGCGATGGTGACAAATGCTGTTCTCTTTACGATCAGCTCAGGTAAGAACGTCTTGACGACGGCAGGGTTCCCGTGAGTACAGTCATGGTCCGCAAGCCTCGAACTTGCATACTCACGCCTCTCATAGGTGGCTCCTTGCTGTACTCGGATCAGCGGTGCGTTGGATCATGCTACAGGGGTCTATCTGAAGCACTGACAGTGATAACCTCAAGGGATCCCGTCTCGTGCTGAATGTGAGGGACGCCAATCGCAAGCAGCCGACGCCGTCATCCCTGGACGACTTTGATTCAAGCACCGCTGATTACAGCGCTGTGGACCAACGCGATAGTTACGAAACAGACGACACCATAGAGCTCAAGAAGGCCCGAAACTCATGTCTCCGAAAAGATGAACGCCAGTCCCTCTCTGAACGAAGACCGCTTGCTTGTTAACGCCTTATTGCGTAACTTATCCTGTTCGTCACGTCCATTCATTCCGTGAAGCTCTTGTTGCATCTAGTACCCGACCTCAATGCATCAATTAATTTCGTTCTGGCACTGCGCAAATGGACATAAGCAAGGCAGCGAAGAGCGCTTTCAATTTCTAGGCCAACTGCCTAGCGCTCAGGGTGAGGTCACTGGTCAAATAACGGGGATTGGGCATAAATGATGAGGTGTGCCGATGCTAGATACAGAGCAGGGAGAGTCCATGACATGATAGCATAAGTTGAAGTGTGCGGTGCGACGGGTTCAAGGGACGCGAAAGCAGCGAGTACAGCAAAACAGAGATAGCAAACCCAAGCAACGATAGCGACGAGAGCAATAGACAAAGGAATCAGATTCTGACCTCGAGTTGGATCTGGTGAACGCGTGAGGACTGAGGAAACTTTGCACATGCGTAGTATGCAAGTCTGAGCGCACCTTCGATATAACTTTGTCGATTTCTTGTATGAGGAGACCCTCAAACTCCTTGAGGTACGCTTTGCGGGAGGCCTTCTGCGTCAGGCAGGTCTTGCACGGGGCATTGTCCAACTGCTCTTCGCCTGCATCTGACTCAACGACGGTGGTCCGATGAGGTCTCTCCCTGAGCCGCTGCTTCATATCCTTCATGTAGTCCTCAAACCATGCAGCGGAGCGACAAGGGATGCGCGCGGCACCGTACGGCTTTTGTGCTGCTCCGTCAGCGCAGACGCAGTTGAACCAGGGCCACTGCGTCGTGGTGAGCCAGTCCAAGACCGCGCCCTCCTCGTTCGGCTGTGTGGTATCAACCAACCTCGAGACGGCTTCCGAACAGGCAGAGTGATATGCACGGAGGCGGAACCACGCGCCCGCGCTGATGAGCTCCATCTCCGGGATGTACGAGTCCCAGCGCATCTCCCGGCGGAGAGTGCAGCGCGCAGCCTCGCGCATCTCCTCGACCCACCCGCGCGTCACA